GGTAAAATCAACAGCTTGCGACAGGCCTGTGAGATTTCTGGCTGTGTAAAGCATGGTTAACTTTAACTACTTTTTAACTGCAGTTAAGGCTATAAACTACACTTTTATACAACCGGCTTAACTACGTGATTAAAGTTAACTATTTTTTAAGGCTTTTTCACTACTTTTTAACTGCAGTTAGCGCTAATTACGTTTTTATACAACCGGCCCCAGGTGCTCTTTAACAGGGAGCTACCAATATCTTTAAGGATTGGTGTAATATGATCAAATTTTTTCCCATTAGCTATAATTCTGCACGCAAAATTTTGGACGGCTTGTAGTTTCCTAATATTTGAAGAACTCGTATTTGACCAAACTGTTGAACAGTAATATAATTTACCCATAACTACCGCGCAGATGATGTAAATCAGCGTCTTTTGATCAAAACAACGTTTGACACGATTAATTTGACACAGTTTAGCCATGCACTCTGATGAGAGGATTGAGAGCTGGGTTATATGTTCGTTATATGTCAAGTTGCGGTCCAGGATTATTCCAAGGTCGCTTATGGAAGTGACAGGAACGATTGTCTTATTTAAAAAATTCAAAGACATATCATCTGATAGTAAATTTAGTAACTGTCGCGTTCCAACTAACAGAAACTTGGTTTTCTCGGGATTAATCAATATTAGAGACCTTAAGATTGACGTTTACGGCAAACGTCAAACCGCTAGCGAAGTTTTTTATTTTACAACTCTATTATAATAGCTTTTACACCAGTTTTGAAATATGTTAAATTTATTAAACTTCTGCTCTTTAGCAATGATTTAAGAAAGCAAATTAACCACTAGTCATGCCATTCACCAAAGCAGTAAATTAAGATTTGGCGTTTCAAGTTGGCGTTTGGCGTATAGATTTCATGCTTGAACTGCTACGAGGGCTTGTAGTCGTTAAAGCATGAAATTTATACGTCAAACGTCAACTTCAAACGCCAAATCTTAATTTACTGCTTTGGTGAATGGCATGACTAGTGGTTAATTTTCTTTCTTAAATCATTGCTAAAGAGCAGAAGTTTAATCAGTTTAACATAGTTCAAAACTGGTGTAAAAGCTACAATAATAGAGCTGTAAAATAAAAAACTTCGCTAGCGGTTTGACGTTTGCCGTAAACGTCAATCTTAAGGTCTCTAATGAATTTTTGCAACACCATTCGGCTACAAGGCGAAGATCAGTCTCAAGTTTATGTTTGGCGTCTGACACTTCTTTGACAGAGAATTACAGAGATATTTTGGAATCGTCAACAAACGAGTTCAGATCACATGATTGCGTCACTGTTGGAAGGTCGTTTGTATATATGCAGAAGAGCAATGGTGACAAAATAGCCCCCTGCGGTACACCGTGGGTAATAGGGAGAGCTGCAGACAAAGATGAACCAATGCGGACTTTTTGAAAACGTCTGGTTAGATAGCTTTCAAAACATTTAACTGTTTCCTGGGATACTCCAATAGCACTTAGTTTTTTTAATAAGATTGAATGACTGATACTATCAAAGGCTTTTGAGAGGTCAATTAATATAACAGCAGATAGTTTCTTGTTGTCCATTGCATCCAATAGATGATCGGTAATTAATACGTTTAAAGTTTCAGTAGAGTGCTGTTTTTTGTTGCGGCTTTGCTGTACACTAAGTCGTTTGTTGCGTGTTAAATAGGAATTGTTAAATTGATTGAGGACAGCTCTCTCACAAATTTTTTAAACAGTACTTAGGAGGGAAAGAGGGCGATTATTTGAAGCAACTTCGCGATCACCGTCTTTTAATAAGGGAATAACTTCGGCTAGTTTCATATCATCTGGGAACGTTGATGTGGCGAAGGAGCAATGTATGTATGTAAAAACTTTATTTACACAGGGTGACCCAATCAGTGAATGTTCACTGTTATCCTTAGGGGCCCTGAAAAATATACAGTATATCTACAATACAGTTTTATCTAAAATAGTATAAAATTATCTAAAAACCCTACAATAAACTAACTATCTATATGTCCCGATCGACTTAATTAGACTTATTAAAAACCTTGCATCCATAATAATGAAAAGAATTCTTTGCACATTCAGTTCTTACTTTAGGCAAACGAAGTTTGTCTGATTGTCTTGTCGTTCGCGAGGAACTGTCACGATTAAAAACGAAATAATTATTAAAAAATTGTGGACATTTCCCTAGAATACATTTTTTAACCAGTTTGAGAACATGTACGTCTCTTCTTGATTCTAAGCTGTCCCATCTGAGACTTTCCATTGCGTCATCACTTCGCGTGTACCTGGAAATCACTCTGGCAGCACGCTTTTGGAGTATCTCGAGCCTTCCTTTGTTTTGCTCACCACAGTACGTCCAAATACTGTCCCCATACTCCATAAGAGGGCGAATGAACGACTTATAAACCGTTTCCGCCGCATTTAGGGTCAGGTTGTTACGTAGTCGACGTAACATGCCAATTCTTCTGCCCACTTTCATTGCTACATTATCAACATGTGAATGCCAAGACAAATTTGCATTTAAAGTATTACAAAGGTAACAATAATCAGTTACACGCTTCAATGGAAAGCCATCAATTGAGAGCTCATAATTAGTTACGTACCTTTGATAAGTTTGCATTAGTTCCAAACAACATCGTCTCTGTTTTTTTCCTATTAAGAGACAGTTTGTTTTCCATCAGCCAAGCTCTCAAATTTTCCAGCTCGGTTGTTAACACATTCTGTATTACACCACTGTCCCTGTCTGCGAAGAAAAGTACCGTGTCATCGGCATACATCAGAACATTGCATTGTTGAACAGCTGCTGGAAGATCATTAATAAACAGGACGAACAATAGGGGCCCTAAAATAGACCCCTGTGGTACTCCAGACGAAATATTACATGGCAATGATTGCATATTCTTAAAGGTAACTATTTGCAATCGATCGTTAAGGTAACTACTAAACCACTCAAGTTCACTTTCAACTACGCCGTAACTCTCCAACTTGGCCAAAAGTAGGGAGTGGTCTACGGAGTCAAACACCTTCCTAAGGTCTACAAATATGGCTCCTGTAAGCATCTTTTGGTCAACTGCTCATGGACTGCTTTCTCTAATAGCTTAGACACTGTGGAAAGAACTGAGATCGGTCTGTAGTTGTTAATATTTTCGGGTTGTCCTTTCTTAAAAACAGGAATTACCTTAGCAAGTTTGAAATCATCAGGCACTGTTCCTTGTTCGAAGGATACGTTAATGATCTTTGTGAGTGGTCTGGCAATAACATTAGCAGAGTCTTCCAGAAGTCGTGGTGGTATATTATCTAACCCAGCTGCTTTCTTAACATCAATTTTATGCAAATTATTTAGAATAAACTGCTCTTTCACTTCCTCGAATTTAAATACAAAACCACTGTTTAAACGATTGAAAAAACACTGCGATGTAATATTTCCGATGTTGTTACAAAGATTACTAAACGATTGGTGCAGCCGCGATACTGTTTCAGTAAAGTATACACCAAATGCGTTAGCAATTTGTTTTTTATCTTTACTCAGTTTTCCATCAATCAATACATTAGTCGCCACATGTTTACTCTCCGCAGGAAAGACCTTTTTCATAGTTTTCCAAAACGATCGTGGGTTATGACTATTGTCATAAATAAGATTCCTATGATATTTTTCTTTCGCTGAGCGGATT